CTATAATTAATAATAATACAAATAAAGAAGATAATAATAAATAAAAGATAAAAATAATAATTTCAGGTGTTACAATACGTAGTTACTTTATGACTGCCTTTGGCAATTTATCTAGACTTTTATTTATGACTCGAAGAGACGCCCTATGGGCCTACTATTTCGTGATGACTAATAGTTATTTATATTTTATATTTGTTATATGTAATATCGATTTGAATCAGTTGTATATATATATATTTAATCAATATGGTTCGAAAAAAGAATAAAACAAAAATTAGGTGTCCTGGTACTAGTTCTACCGCTCATGAACCCCATTCCTCTACAGATGCTACTAATCGAATATTGAATGAGTCGCAATCTGAAATTATTTTATCGGTAAATATTACTGACCCAGTAAATAAATTAGGGACTTCAAACTTTACTCATTCGAATAAATCTACAAATATTACATATACGGCAACAGCGACAGAATTGCGAAAACTTTTGCAGGAAGGAGTTATACTTAAAGAAATTCATCAGGCATTGGAATGTAATCAAGAAGACAGTTCCTTTATTACTAACTTTATCCACACTTCAATGGAGCTCGAAAAGCATAGTAAGGATCCGAGAGAAAAAGTATATCACAAATTAATGAGAGAAGTTTTTAATATAAAGATACTTTATGAAGCGTTCAAACGAGATGGGCATATGATCCAAGCAGAATTTTATAAAAATAGAATAGAAAAATACATACATGAATTTCTTTCTCATATAGGGGAGGATAAAAAAGGATGGTTATCTCGTGGTGCAGTTAAAGCATTGTGTCTATCAACAACCTCACAAAAAATATTGGATTTACTTGATATGGCTAAGCATAAAGGACTCAAAATTTCAGGTCGAATTATCATCTAATTATTCTAGTCATATAGATTACCCACTTTGTAACTGCGAAGCAATAATACTTATCTTTTTACTTGATTTTACATGACAAGTCGTTTTATGGGACACAAAAATCCCTAGTATAGATTATACCTGTCATCCAAATTCAAAATCCAAATGCTGAAATCCCAAATGCCAAAATCCCAAATTCCAAATCCCAAATTATGATTAGTATTTTTTGCCAAAATCTCAAATCCCAAATCCCAAATACTAGTAATTTGGAATTTGGGCAACACGTATAGTATAGATAATGTATCAAGCTCGTTATTTTTACATCTACTCTAACTTCAAAACACAGCAGGATTCGGTCAGCTTAAAAATATAAGTGACAGATAAGATGTATTTATAGGTATAGCCTAGTGTCTTTGACACATATTATTGTATTAATAAATAACGGAAAAAATAATTATTATACGTATTATTGCTTATTTTACTTATCTAATATTATATTTAGTGTTGATTTTTTACTTAATAGGAACTGGATTGATTCTTTGGAGATACGCCAACAGTCTCCCATATCAAGAACTAGCAAATTAGAACAATAATGTACAATATCGTATATTGTTTTATCAGTAATATAAGTACGATGAAAAATAAGATGTTGGATATTTGGACATGAACGGACTATATCACACACAGCATTATCTGTGATTCTGCAATCAAAAGACAAGTCTAGGTATCGAAATTTTATACATGAACATGCAATTGCAGAAATTGATATATCTCTGATAAAAAGTTGGGAAGAGAGGTTTAAATAAATTAGATTGGGATAAGTTCGTGCCATTTCAATTACAGATGCATCAGTGAAATTTATATTATGCAAGGAAGCAATACTTATATATTCTAATTTTGGGCAAGATCGCACTATTTCACTAATGCATCTATTAGTAATAGCTTTACATGCATCAAGACTCAGATGCAGTAGTTTCAGACAATATTTTGCAATTTCTATGATTGGTATATTACTAAAACCATAACTTTGATCAAGAATGAGAAAGTTTATATTCGGACATGAACGCAGGATTGCACTGAGTAATGCATCTGAGATTTTTAAATCCACCAATTTGAGATATACCATCTTTGAGCAATAGAGAAGGTTTGTCTTTCCACATATAACTCTTTTAAACTTCATCAATCGCCAATAAAGAGGCTCAGATTTATTTTTACCACATTGGTTCTTCTGATAACCTTCTATGGAAAACTCAATGCGTCACTATAGAATTGGAGCACTGCAATGATACCAAAGGTGATCGATGAATAAAGTAGGATAGAGTGCTTTACCCTTGACTAAGAAACTAAATATATTTTCGAGTAACTCCAGAATAGTGAGAGAGTGGGTCATGTTTATTTTTATATAAGCATTAGGAAACTTAAAGTGGTTTTTATATTCTTGGCGAAATTAGTATAAATGATTAAAAATTTAATGTGTTTACCCATACTGGCCTTTAGCTGAAATCTCGCTCTATTCGTCAACTTGACAGATAGGTACATCTCAACCAAACTGAAAAATGTCTTGCATATCTGAAATTACGCTCTGGTTAGGTAGAACATTTATTATCTTTTAATGCTTCGATTTCTTTTTCTAGATCAAGAGGGGTGTCCCATCGAAGTGAGAAAGATTCAAATCTCAGTTTATTCAGATCTATAATTATAAACTCTTTTTGCCTCAAATACTCATCAATGATTTTTGCGAATTTGCGCAGATCTGCATCAGTATAAGGACTTATAATATCTGTAAGTTTTTGAATAGAGCCTCTGCCATTAAAGAGAACAATGTGGGTAGTATTTTCACAAATATCTATTGGAATTTTGTGAAATTTTTGAGTGACATAAATTGAAGAGATATTCTCATGACGACCTCAGGTAAAAAATGGAATAATTTTTTTCTGTATAGCCGAAAGGTCAGAGTAAAGATCTTTGAATATCGCTAATGTACTTCTTTTAGCATTAAACTTTTTGGGATCTGGAATTTTATTAGGAGATAGTGTAGAAAATGTGATATTTTCATAATAGGGCTTTGATTTGTCTTGAGCAAGATATTTATAAAAACCTCGAACTAATCTATATTTTAGCTCATTTAAGTGGTGTCCGAAAAGAATTACATCATCGCATTTAACATTACGTTCTCCTATCTTGGAACTCTTTTTCTTCCCTTTAAACATGTAATAAAATTTGAGCATTGTTAGCAAGTTTAAATTCATATTGATCTTACCTGAATTGCTAGCTCCTGCCATTACAATACGAAAAGGTCATGTCGGAGCATCTATATCTCCTTGGTATTTTTTTGAGAGTTTTATCTCATCCACGGCAAAAATTACATACTTCATTCTGATTAAGATAAGTAATACTATATCAAAAAAATAATGATCGAGTTTATCGATAACTTCAGATATAACGATTTATCTATGACAAGATATAAGAAAATTTTGATTAATAATTTAAGGTAAGGTAAGTGGGTGTAGATCTAAAAGGTCATGATCCTTGGATCGCTCTTCGGCCTTGCAAAACAATAGTTTAATGTATGACATCGATACTTATCTTTGTCGATTTATTATATAAAAAGAAAATTCTATCGAATGTATTGAAGCTATCTTGTCTAAGAATTAGAGGTTGGTAAATATCCCTTTTTCTGTAATATATGCTTAATATAGGGAAAAAGGACGCAGGTATGTGGGACTTCGATGAGATCTATGCCTTCTCGCTTGCATATATCCTGCTTTTTTTGATTACGTTGCCTTTGCATATTCAAATTAATTTGACCCCTTTTATGGAACATCGCATTCTAATGAAAGTGCTGGACCCCGTTAAATTCCCATGCTAATTTTAACTCTTCGTTATACCCATTGAGTCTCAATCCACCCAAGAACTTCAGTGCACATGCCGGGAATTTCTTACCTAGCAAATATCTGAATTTAAAGTATCATAAGATTATTAAAAATGCCAAAGAAATTAATTTTAAATGATGCAATCAAATCAGCAGAAAACCGTGGTGGACAATGTCTCTCTACTCGATATACTAATAATAAAGATCCATTATTATGGCATTGCTCGAACAATCATGAATGGTATGCTCCTCTCTATCGTCTTAAAAATCATAATAAATGGTGTCCTACTTGTGGTAATGATAAAAGAAGATTGGGTATTTTTATTGCAAAGAAAATGGCATTGAAAAGAAATGGAAAATGTATTTCAGAATCTTATACCAATAATCGAACCCCGTTGATATGGAAATGTGAAAAATTACATCAATGGGAGACAACACTTAGTAAAGTAAAAAATTTAGATCACTGGTGTCCACATTGCGTAAAACGTAGTAGACCAAGTAATCTTACTCTTGAAAATGTTAAACAAATTGCATATAGCAGAAATGGGGATTGTCTCTCTAAAACCTATATCAATAGTTCTTTGTTCTTATTATGGTGATGTTAAAAAATATATGAATGGTATGCAAATTTTAGTTCTATTGCAAATAAGAAGTCATGGTGTCCATATTGTATAGGTAAAATAAAACGTACTTTTGAAGATGTTAAAAAAATTGCTCTTAATCGAAATGGCCAATGTTTTTCAATAAAATATATTGATAATAAATCTTTACTATTATGGCGTTGTTCGAATCAGTATGAATAGTATGCAAATTTTAATCGTATTGCAAATGACAAGACATGGTATCCATATTGTAGCAAATATAAACGTGAAAATTTATACTGAGAAATTGTAACAAAATATCTTGACCCTCTGTCGGAAAGGTGCAGACCTGACTTTTTAAAAACTTCTAAAAGTACAAAAGGTTTAGAACTTGATATCCCTTATTATTATTATAGTTTTGCTATCGAAGTGTAAGGGGAACAGCATGAAAAATATCACAAGTTCTTTCATAGAAGCGATCCTAATAATTTCATTAAATAGCAGGAACGGGATCAACTTAAGGAAGAACTCTGTGAAGAAAATTGGATAGCACTAAGATATGTTTGATATTATGAAGACCTATTCGAGAAAATTCCAGATATCCTTCGAGAACTGGGTCTTATTTCTTAACTGTAATTATTCAATATCTGTATTTGGTAGATAACCTTTTTCGATCAATATGATATGAATGTAGGGATGCAAATCACAGTCAAACGGGACTTCAATAAGACATATACCTTGTTCCTTGCATATATTTCACTTTTTTTGATCTCTGATTTTTTGTTGTTCCAAGTCTATCTGGTCTCGTTTATGGAACATTGAATTAAGACTATAGTATTGGGATCCTTGATGTTCAAAAGCTAATTTTAACTCTTTGTTATACCCATCTAATTGCATTCCATCCAAAAAGTTTGGCCTACATGATGGGAATTTTTTACCTAGCAGGTCCTCAAAAATATATC